ATAATCTAGTAATCTTCATTAAGCTTTAATCTAAATAAAAAGCAATATTGCACAACATCTGCTCTGTCCCGGGTTTCAACTCTTAATGCAGCATTGGGACCAGCATAAGTATACAACTTTTTATATTTTCAGGGAGAAAATCCTTTGGCTCTTTAGAAACATTAATCCCTTTCCTTATTCCTTAACAGGTTACTTTTTCCAAATTACTAACTACTAAATGGCCTTTAAAAGAAAGGAAAAAAATATATTTAATTTCATACTAATATTCAATATCTTTAATTTCATACTAATATTCAATCAATTAATAGCTTCATTGAACAAAATTAGTGTATTCTCAATCTCTTTTCTTCAAACAACCCTCCTCCTTGTTTTGTGTATTATTTCTTCAACTACCTAAAGTAGGACACAAGTGATTATATTATTCTTCAATTAGCCAACATGACCTAATTAATTGCCTTGTTTTGCTACACGATATAGTGCTGTTCCTAGATCTAAAACCTGGAGATGGAAAACTCAAGATGGATATTATCCACACCTCAAACAGGCTAGAAGATTTCTGAGCAGACTAACTTATTTACCAACATTTGGAAAAGCATCCAGAGAGTCAATCTTTACTTTCAGTGCATATATTATTGGCAATACTAAGATAAAGAGCATGCATCCTCCTAAAGGGAAGGAGAGAATAAGTAGCAGATTAGCAAAGAGCAATATCCTTGAAAAGATAATACAGGTAGTCCTCAACGTACAATTACAATTGGGACCAAAATTTTCATTGCTAAGCAAGGTAGTGCTTCATCACTGGAGGCTTTCAAAGAGAGATTGGACAGCCACTTGTCAGACATAGTATAGGATCTCCTGCTTGAGCAGTGGGTTGGACTAGATGACCTACAAGTTCCTCCCAACTCTGATATTCTGTAAGATTCTGTAAATCTGTAAGTAGTTTTAAATGAGATATGCCCTGGTTTTTTTGTTGTTGTTTTTTTGCCCAACTTTCTTTCCTTGATTCTGCTTGTCAGAAGCTGACTGGGAAAGTTGCAAATGGTAATCACATGACCCCAGGATGCTGCAACTCTCATAAATACAAGCCAGTTGCCAAGCACCCAAATTTTATTCACGTGTCTATAGGGATGGTCCAGGAACTGGCTGCATGTTACTTTTTTCAGTGTCATTGTCACTAAATTAATAATTATAAATTGAGGAATACCTGCATAAGCTTCATTGTACCCAAAGCTTATCAAATGATTTTGACATCTGAGGCAAATCTGTCCTTAGAAAGAGAAACAAAACAGGAAATTGAAAAATTACTACTCTTTCAATTCCCTGAAATAATCATCCCATTCAAGGAGGACTGAAAGAAATGTAATGTCGCCAATGTTATAAATGCCAACAGATAGCAGTACTGATACAATAGAAGCTCTGTCATGTTCTTTAGCATCTATTCTTTCACTTCAGTTAGCAGAAAGCTGTACTATTATATATTGTTGTACTTTGTGAAATGACCAAGAAAAAAATGTTTAATTGTGCACCATGATTGCATTCTTGATTGCTGAAGGAGTTCATTCACTCAAAATTCACTGCCAACTACAGGTGGTTTACACTGATTATTATGTTGACAAAGGTTCTGTATCAAAATATATAAAGATGGTGAAGCAGGAAGAATTTATCAATGTGATCAAGAACAAAGTGGAAAAGCTGTGATAGCAACCAAAAGGTTTCAAATGAGAAAGACTGAAGAACTAATTAAAGACTATCAATAGATTGTTAAAAGGGTGCTGCCAAGCTCAGCATTTTTCATAGGAATGTGTAAATATACTATTGATCTTCTTCGGTATCAGAAACTTTATGCAAGATGGATCCTCACATGCAAAGATAAGTTTAGAAGTTGAACTTTGCAAGCAATTGTTGTCATGCTAAAAGAATGAAAGTAAAGAATTTTTTCCCAGCACTGTGACTACTGATGAAATATGGGTGCATCATTATGACCCAGAAACAACATGTCAGTCCATGTAATATCATCACAAACTTCACCAGTGAAGCAAAAAATTCAAAACCCTTTGTCAGGAAAACCTACAGTAATAAGGGTGGTGGGTTGTAGCTTTTTTTGGATGCAGATCATTTTATTTGATTTCTTTGAACCTAGCACCACACTTAATTCAGAATGCTGCATGTTAACACTTAAAACTTTGAAACAATTAAATAGAGTTCAGAAGTAACATGCAATGTGACAACATTAGGCCTCACATCTCCTGAGCCACCTAAGAGGTAATTGCAAAAATAGATTTCACCATAAGGGCCGTACTTGGTACCATGTGATGTCTACCTTATCCCACGTTGAAGAAATACCTTCATGAAAGATTGTTTGACCCAAATGAAAAGTTAGAAAGGACTGTCAGGACCTAGTTGAAGAAACAAAATATGGGTTTCTTTCACATCAGCTTTAAGAAGTTTGCCCAATGTTGCAAAGGCAGATAATGAACAGTATTATTATGTAAAGAAGTACAAGTAATCCATTGGTTGTAATCACTTGTTCAGTGACCATTCAGAGTTATGACAATGGTGAACAAAGAGAACTAGTGATTGGTCTCTAGGTTGCAGCCATTATAGTACCCCACAGTCAAATGATCATGTTTCAGGCAACCAGTTTTCAATTATGGCAGCTGCAATATCCTATGCCAGTGGTGGCAAACCTATGGCATGGGTGCCAGAGGCAGTACTCAGAGCCCTCTCTGTGAGCACACGCACGTCTCCCCAGTCCTAGGCCTTCAGCTGGGTTTTATAAAAGCTTTTTGCTTTAGGCCTCTGCCGTCGTGTGCAAAAAAAAAGGCTCAATCAATCAATTTCAACTTCTCATGGAAAAAAAAAAGATCTCGCAAAGTTGGAATTGATTGGTTGAACTTTTTAGTCCCGCCCAGTCTGCCGTTACCACTGAAGCCATGCTCACCCAAAGGGCCATGCCCACATGATTGGCCACACCCACTCAATTAACCACACCCACCTGGCACCCGACAATACATAAGTGGGTTTTGGGTTGCAGTTTGGGCACTCGGTCTCTAAAAGGTTCGCCATTACTGTCCTATGCTGTAGTCATATGATTAGCATTTGCAACTTTCCCTGCAGGCATCCCAAGAGCAAAGTCAATGGGGAAGGCAGCAGAAGATTCAAGTTGCTATCACTGGTTTTTCTCCCAATGTGGTTCTCATACTCCATTGAATCCATCTGCCCACATTCCATAGCACCAATTCATGATACCCATCTTGCCCACTGTATTTAGCAGCACCTGCCCACCCACAGCTCTTGGCTGAAGTCCTTACATACCAGCCTACTTAGGGTACATTTTTCAGTGCCATATCATGGTCACTTGAGGTCCTCCCCACATGATTCTCACTTATTAATGGCAATGAGAACTGCCAGGAATGGCATTGCTAAGTGATGTGGTCACATGATGGCATGTTATAACCACATTGCTTAGTGACAAAAATTCCAGCCCCAATTGCTATGGTAATCCAAGGATTATCTGTAAATGCAGATAACAAAATAACTGATTTCAAGATTGCTTTCCTGCTTCATTTATTAAAATATCCCCTATTTAAATTAAAATTATGGAAGTATAGGCGTTACTGTTCATTCAACCCTCTTACCTAATTGTACAGCAGACTCTGAACTTCAGAGTTCATTTTTGTGTTTCTGCAAGCTTGAATATTTCTTCAAAAATAAATTCTTGCAGTAGTTGTTCCTCCAAAATCACTTAAAGATGGTTGGTTGTTTCTAAGTCTGAACCAATAGTTTATTTTATTTTTTTTTATTCTGCCTTTATTATTTTTACAAATAACTCAAGGTAGTGCACATATATTCCAATAACTCAGGGGCTGCCATAAAGAAGAGGGAATTAAGCTATTTTCCAAAGCACCTGAAGGCAGGACAAGAAGCAACAGGTGGAAACTAATCAAGGAGAGAAGCAACCTAGAACTAAGGAGAAACTTCCTGACAGTGAGAACAATTAATCAGTGGAACAATCTGCCTCCAGAAGCAGTAAATGCTCCAACACTGGAAGTTTTTAAGAAGAGACTGGACAGCCATTTGTCCGAAATGGCATGGGGTTCCTGCCCGAGCAGGGGGTTGGACTAGATGACCTCCAAGGTCCCTTCCAACTTTACTAATATGAACAATATGAACTTACAACAATCATGAGCTGGGTTGAGAGTGAGTAAATAGCCCTAGGTTACCCAGCTGGCTTTTTTGGCTAAGGCAGGACTTGAACTCACAATTTCCAGCTTTCTAGCTTGCTGCCTTAATCACTAGACCAAATTGGTCTTTGTTGATTGTTTCTGAGATGTTTTTGATGAGGATAACAATGCCATACCTCATGTGATATCTCATTTAATGACCATGATGATTTGCTTAACAATCACTTGTTAAGTGATGTTAACAATCACTACTGGAACTGCTGTTACTAAGCAGGAGAGTCATGATTTTTACTTAACAACCACTTCATTTAGCAATTATATAGTGTATGGATTTAATGAGGATGTGATTTAAAAGCTATAACATTATTATTAGCAATAGAATATAGTGCAGGATAATTTGCTAGGGGACCAAAAGGTACGGAGAGATATATCAAATAGTCTGATATCAACTAAACTTTACACCACATGCTTCTATTATGCATTTAATTTTTGTGCCTTACCCTTATTCCTTCTCTTGTTGGTATAATGTTACTTATCCTGGAAGGAAAGGAAAAGGTGGGTTTCCTCAAAGCAAGTATCCAATTTTTCTGTTTTACATGAATGGATCAAGATTTCACACATTAGCTTTTGAAATGGGAAAATAGCAATCAGGAACTGAGGTGTAAAATCAGGGTGGCTGTGTGAATTGCATTTAGAAGAGGAACTTTAAAAGTTTCAATTTCGCTTTTTAATTTGTGCTCTATGTCCTATAATCTGTCTGTCATGTGCAAATTTAATGCCAAGTAATAGCTAAAGTTTCCTTTGCTTGTTTGAAAGATTGTTTCAGCTCATTTGGCATCCTCCCAGTCTGGATCATATAAGGAGGCTAAACATAAACCTTGGTTTAGCAATCATGGTAGCAAAGTTCAAATAATATGCTAACCCCTAAGGTAAGTAAATCACATTACAACTCAACCCTATGTGTGAACTTAGCCAGTAGTATGTGACAATGTAACAAGGTATGTCTAGCTTTCAGTCTACATTGCTGAAAAAAAATGACAGTATAACCATCCAGACTCCAGAGGAATTGAATTTCAGGCTAGTAATTTCTAGTGTTTATTAAGAACCATGGAGAATTCCAAGTAGAGAAGGCTGTTGAGACTAGCATAGACTTCAGTATTTATGAGATACAGTAAAGATGTTGCCATGGGATTCTTTCCTATGACCTCAAATTTTGTTCAGAACTTTTCACAAACATTTATTTGGTTGAAAGGCCAAAGAAAACAAATTTCCCAGCTGGGAATTTCAAAACATCAAAAACACCAGAGCCTTTTAACACTGAGTTAGTTAGTCTCTGTAAATTTAGTTAATTTGAAGGTAGCATCTTCCTACTTGATCCACATACAAACTTGTGAATAATAGAGAATAAATATTTTAAAGTGGAATTTAATTGTCATAAGTATTTGTAGCCTGAAATAAACAAGAATAGAATTAGAAGACTGATAGTAATAAAAAAGAGCACAATGATTTACATAATTGTGATACAAAACTTCTGTTTTGTATCACAATTATGTAAATAATTGTCCATTGATGCAGGACAGCTGGTAAAAAGCAGAAGGGACAAAGGAACAGCACAGAACAGCTGTGAGCAGTGACAGAATGACTCCAGAGCACTGAACTGATTAATGTGGTTCTTCATCCAGAGCATAATCATTTTACTACCATTTCTGAGGATGTGATTTAAAAGCTATAACATTATTATTAGCAATAGAATATAGTGCAGTTTTCTTTTGCTTGTCTGGTTAAGGAACAGGAAAACAAACAATATACTGGTCTGGCTGCTGTTTACGTAATGACATTTGGAAAATATAAATGTGATCAAAACTGAGCTCAGAATCTCAGGCATTGAGCAAATGGTTGCTTTGCTCCTTGATACTAATCCTGGCACTCCCAATTATGGTTGTTAAGCAATCTCCTGGAGAGTTAAAATGGGCAGAATCCCAGGTAAGGAGCATGAAGTGTCTCTCAGGGAAAGATCCTAGAAGGATCCACGGGGGAGGGGATTCTCATTGGGCTGCAAGGATGGAGCTAAAATCTTTAGGATTTTAACTCTTTTCATGCAATCCATCAAAGGATTTCACCCCAATGGCCAGAGGGGAGGGGAAATCTTTCATTAGGCTAAAAATCTCAGTTCTGAGGAGAGAGGGAGAGAGAGAGAGACAGAGAGAGAGACAGAGAGAGGGAGGGAGAGAGGGGGAGAGAGGGAGAGAGAGAGAGAGGGAGAGAGAGGGGGGAGAGGGAGAGAGAGGCAGAGAGAGAGGAAGAGAGAGGGAGAGAAAGGGAGGGAGAGAGAGGGAGGGAGAGAGAGGGAGGGAGAGGAGAGAGAGGGAGGGAGAGAGGGAGAGAGGGAGGGAGAAGGAGGGAGAGAGAGGGAGAGGGAGGGAGGGAGAGAGAGGAGAGAGAGAGAGGCAGAGGGAGAGAGAGAGAGAGAGAGAGGGAGGGATGAGAGGGAGGAGAGAGAGAGAGGGAGGGGGAGGGAGAGAGAGAGGGAGGGAGAGGGAGAGAGAGGGAGGGAGGGAGAGGGAGGGAGGGAGAGGGAGGGAGAGGGAGGGAGGGAGAGAGAGAGGGAGAGAGAGGGAGGGAGGGAGAGAGAGGGAGAGAAGGAGAGAGAGGGAGAGAGAGAGAGAAGGAGAGAGAGGGAGAGGGAGGGAGAGAGGGAGAGGGAGAGAGAGAGAGGGAGAGGGAGAGGGAGAGATTCCTTCAACGGAGCTCTTTCAGCCAGCCCCCAAAGACTAGAGCAAGGCCTCTCACAGGCAGCAGCAGCTTGCATCTTCTCTGCTAGCTTCCTCACTGACCTTCTGAGGGAGAGAAAGTCTTCTCAGAGAAGATTACAAATGGTGATTACATGACTGTGATGTGCTTGGCAACTGGTGCAAACATGTTTCCAAGCACCCTATTATGATCATGGGACCATGGGGAATGACACAACACTTTGACAGCTGGATCCTTTCTGAAGCTTCAGTCATTAAACAACCAGTGGTAAATCAAGGACTACCTGTACATTAAACTTTTGTACTTTGATTTCTTAAACTAGAGGAAGTAATCTTTGGTAAATAAAATAGAAATTGTTCTTCTTAATGAATTTCTAAAGTTAGATTCTAATAGGAAATTGTTGGGCTAGAGTGGACATACTGGTTTTGTATGATTTGATAAGATCAACATTAGGGATGGGTACTTCATTTCAAAACACATTGTTGCTCATTAAGGGATTCATACATTATTAACTAAATATCAACAGAGCTATCTGACCAAACCTATCTGGGCTTGTATGCTAATCAGGGTTGAACCTGGCTAATATTTCATAGGAAACCACCCTAGCAGAGATTAGAAATTAACAAAACATCCTGGAAAATTTAATGGCAGATATCGTCAATACTATAGTCAGAAGAGCTGTGTAGATTGCATTCAAATAGTTTCCAGAGCTTAAACTTGATTTAAGCTTATCTTCCTATATCAATCACTATTTAGAGTGGTTGGAAATTCTGAAAGCTGAAGTACAACATATTCAAGGTAGTGAAGGCTAGTGTAGACTATTAATCTTGTTTTGCCTTTTCTCATCTTCACAGACAAGGAGTATTCCAGGAATAATTCTCTCTCATTTTGGACATTTCCTGTTAATTTTGTTTCACCTACATAGTTTCTAGATTGTTTTTCTACCTGCCTTACAATATAAAAAATATTTCCCTGTTTTGTCTTTGTATTTAGGCAGATATGTGTGTAGATTTAACTCTATCAAATCAGTCTGGTGTACAATGAGTTATTTTATATTTAAGATGCTGTAAGGCAAAAAAATATTTTACTATAAGAAAAAGTAATAATAAAAGAAAACAGCTGTGGGGATATTCATAAAGAATAATGTAAGTGAAATGTGTGCAGAAACAAGGGATAACAGAACTCTCTAAGACAAATCAGGATTGAAAACAAACAACCAAGGAACAAATCTTTCTCACTTAGTTCTAATTACTGTACTGAAATTTCTTATGAAAAAATTAAAGAGATAGCATAAAAATCAGAGAGTACAGCTAGTATGTTGTGGATAATCTCACAAAATGGCTGACTACCAACGGTTTGAGCCAGTCATGCATTACCTATTTCCAGGTTATGAGGAGAATTTTCCCTTGGGATGCCATACACTATCTGCTTTGCATTCCCCCCACACACACACACAAACACATACACACACTAAAGATGGATTTATTTCCAGACATACTGGATTGCAGCCATTTTTTTTTCTAAAACTATGCAATTTCAGAGACATCACTAAAAATTATACAAAACATTTTTGAAGTATACCAGCTTTGTAACTAATTATTTAATTTAAAACATAATTTACAAGAAGTCAGAGGGACAGAGAACTCAGCAAGCGTCATGATCCATTCTAAAGCCTGGAATAGAATAGAGTATTATTTTTATGTCATTCTGAACCAATACTTGCAACTTGAGATTTTCAGAAATCTGCTTTACCTGTGCATGTGAATTCAGTCAATATCTACTGGTGTTTAGGTTTTAATGTATCGCAATTTGAAATAGGAATTTCATATTGACATTTAAATGTTTAATGCTGGATATATGGATATTGACTACAGTTTTATAAGTTCAGTGCCCTAGAGCAATAGATTCCTTTACAGTGCAAGCAGCTCCTGCATTCTGAATTGTCATATGATAATACAAGTATCTTCTTATAAATTTCAGTCCCAGATTCATCTGCAATGAGTAGTTGTTTCCTCACCAAGTTTCCTTGGGATTTAATTAAGGTGACCAACTTTTTTACAATGAAAAGGAGGACACAAATAAATTGAAGAAAAAAATATCGTAAATAAAAGAAACATTTTATTCATTGCAACAATAATACAGACAATTTGCATGTGCAAAGTCTGCCAGCCGGGTATTTTGGCACGCTCAGTAGCAATTCCTATTGGCTTTCAAAAGCCAATAGTGGGAGTAGCACAGCTCATGCAAAAGTTGAAAAAAAAAAACATCAAAAAAAGGTGCCGGAATGACGTTCTGAGCGTTCTATGAGGGGAAAAAAAGCCCTGCAGATTAGTCTTCAAATATCAAAAAGGAGGACATGAAGGAGGACACTTTTTGAGGGAGGACAGAACTTAAAAAAGGAGGACTGTCCTCCCTAAAGAAGGACAGTTGGTCACCTTAATTTAATACTTTCTCTGTAACTTGCAATGTCTGGAAACCTATCATTACTATAACTGCAGGAAAACCAGTTTGCATATATTTCATGATTAAGTAGTAAATTCATATTTATTATTTATTACTGAAATTTGAACACTGCTTCAGTCCTATAGTTCCAAACAGCTTATATTAACTGATACAAGGCACCCCTGCCACACAAATAAATATATTGCACTCAGTTAATCAATGCGTCCATAAGGATGCAATTGCCCTGCATTTAAACAAAACTTCTCTTTATAACTGAGGTAAAACATGATTATAGTTAGAATGTACCTCTCTTCAGTTCCCTAAAACTTTGCAAAAAAGCAAGGCTGAAACACGTTTTGAAATAACATGTAGAATATGGTCACAGCTGTGGATATTAGTCAGCCCAAAGAGGAACCATAACATAGAGATGGTTTCCTCCTAATCCATTATATATCTGATTATATAGTTTCTTGTACATAGTTGTTGTATAGTATTTCTGGTGTTGTTTTTTTTAAATAAGCTGATGTGTGGCTAGATTCAGGTTTTTGATACAGAATTATATCTATTCATTTTGTGCCATTGTGCCCACAGTAAAAAATGACAATAAAAGTTATCTATCATCATGAAAAAAGGAATACTTTTTCCCTCTTGGTATATTGGATTGTATTTATGAGAGTTGAAAGAATTATATGGCATTTTACTGCCCAATAAGATTTTTAATTTTTTTCTTTTTTGTTGATAAATCTTAAATACAAAATTAAATAATTATTTATTTCTTTAATTATATTTCTCATATATTGAGCTTTTAGTTTCACAAAAAGTTCTTTTTAAAAAAAACAATTGAATTGTGCCCATATTATTGCAACCCCAAGGATTTGCAGGTAAGTGGTCTTTTGTCATTATGCACTAACATTTTTTGCAAGAGATTTTAAGTTACAAAAATGGATGGCATCCATAAACACAGTTATTTGAATGACATAGAAATATATAATAAGATGTTTGCTTTATTGCTAAATGAAAAATCTGTGCTAGAAATAATTTCCTTTTTCTTGACAACATAAATACTTATATTTTTAATCCTAGCAATAAATAAATAGTTTTGTTTCTCAAAACTGAAATTAACCAGGCTATGACTGCACACCAATTATTTTCCATTATGCTTCTTTTATCCAAAGAACTGATGAAAAGCTGTATTGTAGGTATATAACGTACGTATATGCACACACACACATGCACACACAAACACAAAAAAAATTAATCTGATCTTTTTCCCTATTCAATTGAATTATTTGTGACTTATGAAGAAACAGATTACAAGTATAAATTATGTAATATAATAAAAAATGTATTTTTTAAACAAACTACTTAAAATTGTGTCTGTTGTGGGGGAGTGTGCACGCACATATGTATATTGATATTTTTTTCCTGTTAATTTAAAAGTGCGCAGGCGCACATAGACATACACATTCCCATTAGTGTTAATTCTACCACTTCAGTGTTACCAATTCTTTTTATTCTGTTCCAAGCAGCTTTCACATCCTTTTTTCCTTGCTGATTTTTCATTCCTTCCTTTGGAAGATTAATCTTGTAATATTTTTTCATACATAATTAAGAACATTCTTTGACACCCATTTCTTTCATTTCTTCCCTTATTATCCTTTTCCATCTTTTTTCCAAGATTCATTTCTGAATCTATCAACAACCTTTCATCAGTCTTGCATCTTTTAATTTTCTTAGTCTATCATCACAAACTATTAAATCAATCATACTTTTACATTTGTCTGGGTTTTTTTTACTATCTCTATTTAGGAATGTATGCTTAAGCTATGTACTGGGGAGGAGTCTTTTTTCTAAGCAGATACTAAATGATTGTTATTAATTCTTTGATCTCTGAAATTACCTTTCCTGTATTCCGATGTCTCATTCCCACCTTTCATCTCATACAGCAAAATAACTTCTTATCCTGTTTTACATTAATTCAAACTATTACATATTTTTGCAAAATTTATTGTGACACCTCTGTTATTATTATTTAACATCCAAACACTTCTATGGCATTTTGTAACATAATTTTTTCACTCTCACAAGCAGATTCCATACTCTCTTTTCTTATATTTCAATTCATCCTTGGATGACTGTATCATTTACTTTCTCTCCCATGTAGTTGAACAATTTTCATCTAATTTATTTCTTCACAGAAGTTAATCTCTTATTTCATCATTCTCTAGAATGAAACAACTGTCTCCAGTTATGGATTTCTACATTAATCCATCCATACAAACAATATAAAATTCATATCTTCTGACATACACTTCAGCACTTTTGTTCAGAATTAACCGTCACATCTCTGAATCTAATTAACAACTGCACTTTACTAATGGAAGTACTGGGTGAATATGGTGAAATGGCAGGCCTAAAGATAAATAAGGAAAAAAACAAAATACTTGTGAAGAATATGATTAGATCACAGAAAAACAAACTAGCTGATAAATTAGGTATTCAGATCACAAAGAAAATAAGATACTTAGGGATACATCTAACAGCTAGGTGTGTAACAATTAAAAGAGACAATTATGACAAACTAATGGATCAGATTAAAACAGACTTGGACACCTGGAGAAATCTCCAGCTTTCTTTCATGGGTAGAATTGCCGTAATTAAAATGAACATATTACCTAAAATATTATTCCTATTTCAATGTATACCAATTAGATTAGAAAAGGAATTCTTTCGAAATTTCAACCAAACCATACTTAAATTCATTTGGCAAGGGAAAAAACCAAAGATTAAATTAAAATTATTATAGGATGCTAAGGAAAGGGGGGGGTCTCAGCCTCCCCAATCTGGAAAAATACTATCACTCTACAATTCTACGGTGGGTGCGGGATTGGATTTGACTAGAAAATCGGAGATTATTAAAACTGGAAGGTCATGACATGCAGACTGGATGGTATGCCATGTTATGGGATGAGAAGCATAAAGTTCACCAATACTTCCGGAGGCACTACATCAGACGGGCGCTAACAGATGTATGGATCAAAATCCAACGACAGAACTATAGACAAGTCCCCAATTGGATCTCAACACTAGAAATGTACATACACCCAAGATTCATTCAGTTGGGGAAAGTAATAACCTATAAAAACATATTAGATGAGAGAGAAGAATTAAAATCGAGGAAGAATCTCCAAGATGCTGGGATAGAATTAGAATGGTGGGCATACCTCCAACTACAAGCAAGATATAGGCAAAATAAAAAAAAAGAGTGGGGTATAAAGACAGAACCGACAGAAGTAGATAAAATTTTATTAGGTCCTGAGAATAAAATGATTAAAAAAATATATCATTTTCTTTTAGATCAGACAATGTATGAAGAACAGGTTAAGGAGACCATGTTAATTTGGAGTAGGAATTTTGGTTTCAGTATCGACCTGCATATTTGGCAAGAACTGTGGGAAAGAAATAGGAAACTCACCTTAGCTATCTCATATAAGGAAAATCTTTACAAGATATTTTATAGATGGCATTTCCCACCCATAAGGCCAGCCAAAATGGCTTCAAACATCTCACCTCTATGCTGGAAATGTAAAATAGCAATAGGATCATACTACCATATGTGGTGGGAATGCCCAAAGACTCGTGAGTATTGGAACAGGACACGAAACTGGTTGAGGGATATATTAACACTGGATTTAGAATTAAAACCTGAACTCTTCTTGTTGGGAATAATGACAGAAAAATACAAGGGAACAATCTACCTGCTGTTACACATCCTGACTGCAGCTAGGCTTGCTTTTGCGCAAAAATGGAAGAGCAAAGAAATTCCCACAGAGGAAGAGTTAATACATAAAATATTAGCATGTGAGGAAATGGACAGGCTCACAGTGATATTAAAAAACAAATGTGGATCAGTTTATTATGAAACTGGGATAAATTTTACCACTGGAGGAATTCGAAGAGGACGTTGGGATTAAAGATGAGTGTTAAATTAGAAATATATGTTATTTTAGAATAAGTATTGTATATAAAACCTAGATGTATATGTAGAGATGAAGAATTGATTGTAAAAAGTGGAATAATCTGATAAGAATATATATACTGGAATGTCACGTTAAATCCAATGTTTGTTTGTTTTTAACTGTATTATAAATAAAATTTGTAAAAAAAAAACAATTGCACTTCACAAGAACAGATTATTTTCATTCAGATATATTTTATTTCTCCTACTCTAAAAGTACCATATTTTTCTTTCTTTCTTCTCTATCCATTGTGCTCCTTTATCATTTGCTCTCTTTAATTTGAAATTATAATTCTCTACATGCCATAACCATCAGCAGGTGGGCACATAAATATTGCATTCTGCTGCTTATCATAGTTTCAGTTTATCAACAATATTCAAATAATGTATAGTAATGTAGACAATGTGTAAACTAGATAACCAGCTTTATTTCTTTTCATACCACATATAAGGTACCTAACTAATAATAATAACATTGATCAGTTTTGTCATGTTTTTTGCCAATACATCAACAAACATACCCAAATCCAGTTTTATTCCAAGCTTTCTATTCTGAAATGTTGCTCTAGAGAAGGATAGCAGTAATAGGAATACATGCACTGTATTAATACATTCAGAATACAATTTTTATTATTTCATAACCTAATATATAGTATAAAACTATCACTCTCTACAAGTTCACAGATACAGATCAAGAAAAACCATGAACAATTTGCCACAAACGGTTTGTCTAAAAGACAAGGACTTTCTTCTAAAGCAGAAATGCTTCTTTTCAGCCTTTAATAGTATGAACAAGGAATATTCAGTAACTTCGTATACAAAAAGGAATGCCAGGAAAAAAAATCTGAAGAGCTT